TTATTCCTCTTTAATTAAATGTGATGTATGTCATTTTTAAACTAAATTTGATTTTTTCTTAAAATTCCTATATTTTGCATATTTATTCATTTATTTAGATAAACTCTTACCCATATCTTTTATATTATCCCAATATTTTAGTATGTATATTTTACGGACTAAACATTTATATGATTAAAATGTATAATAAATTATATATAAAATTTGTATAGATAAATATTTTTAAATATAAATTATATTATAAGTTTAAGATAAATAATTTATATTATAACACAAATTTATTTTTAATTATTGATAATTTATTTTTAAAATATTAAAATTTAATTCAAAAATAAATACGATAATAAAAATTAAATTAGATAAAAAAATTTAATTTTTTTTTAAAAACTTTCTGATTAAAAATAATTCCTAAAAATACTATTACAAAAGATAGTGGCTTGCCATTAAAGGTTGATTTTTGTGTTAAATGAGAATAACAATTATAAAACATTACATTGTTTTTACATTATTTTTTTTAGCTAGATTGTTTTCCAAAAAGAAAAAATTTACCAAAATTAACACAGGTCACCACTTTGAAGAACAATTTATATATTCACTATAAAAAAATTGATTTTTTTTTTTAGTTTTTATCATCATTCTTAAAAGCCTTGTACGTATTGAAAAAGAAAACCTAAAAACAAATAGTATCGAAGAAAAATGAAACATTGGGCCCATAGCTTAAAGCAAACCCATAACTACTTTACGGACAAGGCTGATGATATATACACCTCCTATCATTTATAAATACACCTCTAATCTCTCTTTTTTTCTTTTAAATTCCTAAAATATCCTTATAACTAAATTTTTATTTTTAAAATTGTTTTATTCACCCCTTCTTTTATCATTCTTCTTCTTCTTTCTTCTTCTTTTTCTTATTCTCCTTTTTTATCACTCTAGTCATTTTTTGATGATTTTATTCTTTTTCGTTTTTTATTCTTAATTTTTCTTCTTTTACAATCAACATAATCATATTTTATCTTTCTATCTTTTAAATTCTATTTTTCACTTTCCACTCTATTCTTTCTTAAACCCTAATTTTTCATTCAATCATCATTATCCTCTACATTCAATACAAGGTACAAAATTAATATATTAAATTACATTTCATATTTACAATTTTTTTAAACTTATTTAACATTACTTATGCACAACAGGTTCGATCGCAGACGCCGGTGGTGGATGAAGAGATAAAGAAACTGGTAAGTTAAATGTGTCATGCGCTTGTAAAATAAGTTTTTTAGCATTCCGGAAAGTACTTTCCGGAATAGTAAAATTATTGTTCATATAATTCCGGAAAGAACTTTCCGTAATAGTAACTTTAATATCATGGAAAGTACTTTCCGGAATGTAAAATAAGTTTTTTAGCATTCCGGAAAGTATTTTCCGGAATAGTAAAATTATTGTTCATATAATTCCGGAAAGAACTTTCCGTAATAGTAACTTTAATATTATGGAAAGTACTTTCCGGAATTATGTAACAAAACATTTCCGGAAAATACTTTCCGGAATAAGAATTTAATATTATGGAAAGTATTTTCCGGAACATTTTTATATAATTCCGGAAAGAACTTTCCGTAACAGTAAGAAGAAGAAGAAGAGGAGTGCCAGAAAGAGAAAGAAGAGGGGTGCGTAATGTCAGCAGGTGGTCTTGTAAGAGAAAGACTCTTACTTGTTCTATGGAAAGAAACACTAGTACAAAAATGACTTTTAAAATTGGGGTTTTAAAATCAGTCATAAGGTAGCCATTTTAAAAGTGACGCGGTGGCTTGTACTGCAACAGAACGGCCCCCAGAACGGCCCGTTCTGCAAGCAGAACGGCCTGTACTGCTTTCAGTACGGCCCGTACTTCAAGCAGAACGGCCCGTACTGCTTGTAGAACGAGTCGTTCTTCTTGCAGAACGGGTCGTTCTGGTGTCGTTCCAGACTAAAGTTTTGAGAAAGAAATCGGCCAGGATCGTATACTTCAAATTCTGAGTCAACAACCCTAACTCGAGCACTTATATAAAAGAAAATCATTGTAAAGAAGTTTTAGTATAAAGGATACTTACCAGAGTCAAATCCTTCACCGGCAAAGAGTCTTTCTTATGCTAGTTATGGTGGGGCTAGTCCCTTTTTTCTATTCAAAATGACTGTAAAAGTATATTCATATTACTCTTGGTGACATTGAGCGGAAAGAGACTTTGGGAAGAAGAGGGGTGTGGGGTGTGGGGGTGCGGGGAAGGGGGGTGCGGAGAAGAGAGGTGTAAATTTAGGAATTAAATTTTTTTTAAAAGGGTAATTTAGACATTTTATATATATATATTTTTTAAAAAAAGGGGTGTGTTTATACGAGGGTGGAGGTGTGTTTAACATCTACCTACGGACAATAATCAAAACATTTCGTTTTAATTAGCTTGCAGAAACAGTTTGTTAAAGAAAATTCTCTAAAAATATTCTGGTTAATTTTTTATATTTTATAATTTTATAGATATTTATTTTTGTGTAAAATTTAAAATTATAATATTATTAATTAAAATTATTTAATTAAACTATTTTTTATTAATTTTAATAAATTAAACGCGTTTCTTATATATAGAAATCAAAGTAGTATTTAATTTTAAAATAATATTATTTTTACATTAGTAAAACACTTGTGGTATACATCTTTTAATTTGAACAAAATTGATATATATATATATATATATATATAATAATAATATAACTTTAAAATTATATATTTGAATGATTTAGACCTAATTAATATTATTTTTGTTATTGTTTAAGTTAAAAAAATTTAAATTTGATTAACCATCAAATAAGTCTTTCTCGTTATTATTTTAAATTATAATTTTCACATTTTGAAAAATAAAAATACCGAATTTCATGAATTTATGTTTTCCACGTTTATTGAAATTTAAAAATTAGTAATAATCAAGTTAATTTATAAAATAAAATTCTATCATATTTAAGAATAATAATTTCATTATATTTAGCCATACAAATTTCATTACATTTAGCAATTAAAAAAAAATACACTATAATAAATGTGAAAAAAAAATTGTAAATAAGTTATACTTATCTTTATTAAAAAAAGTCACTAAAAATTAGTTTCAAGATTCAAATTTCAAATATTCATGGTAAAACTAGTTATTTCTCTGTATGATGTTAATGCTGTTAATGCTGATGACTTATTTATTAACTATATTATTAATGACGAAAATAAGTAAAGTTGACCAAACTAAATATGTAGGAATCATCATGTGCTATCCGAATACCTATGTAATTGACATGTGTATTATTAATGGAAAAATTAGGTAAAAATCAATTATGTTTGTAACTCAACCAAATATTTACTAAGCATCATATATTGAGACGTGTTATTTAAATATTTATATAAGAGACATGTGTTATACAATTGACATATGTACTTGGACCTCTTGGAGTGATTGTAGATCAAATTTATAATTTTTCTTTTAAAATTAAAAACTTTTTAATACTTTATTTAATGAATTTAAATTAAAGTATGAAATACTTTTATGATTATTTGTTAATTTGAATTAATAAAACAAAATATAATTTTTAAATTTTTTTTTAGAAACTTGATATATTTATTAAAATTTTTTAATTAAACGATTAATCATAAACATTTAATGTAAAACATGAATTATTGAGCGATGTAAGTCTAAATAGACTTATTATTAGAGTAAATGAATTTCTCTCATTCTCTCTTTATATATATATATATATATATATATATATATATATATATATATATATAAATATAAAATGAGATGTATTATTTAAACTTATAATTGAATTCGTAAATATATTTATAATAATTTTATTCAATTTTGATTCAATAATTTATAATACCAAATCAATTCTATTTATTTTAATTATAATTGTTATTAATATTTTTTTATACAATATAGGATTAAAAATTGAAACTAAAAATCATAGAAAAAAGAAATTCTTAAAATATCAATAAGCAATGAAATCTGAAAATAGAGAGAGGATTATCAAAAGTGAGGACTCCATTTGTGAATATAGAGAGAGGATTATCAAAAGTAAGGACTCTATTTGTTACAACAAATCTCACAACAAATTCCACATTTGACTAGTTCATCCCACAACAAATTCTACATTTGATAAGTTCATCCGTAATTTAGTTGACTTCTCTAAAACATGATTACAAGTGATGATGTAATTATAATTCACTCCACAAATAACTTTATTGACAAAAATAAAGTTAGAATAATTTATAGTATATTGCATCCTTTATTTAGAACGTACATAAAATAAAATACTTTTTCAATTTAATAATGTATTACATTGTAATGATATATTTTAAAATTTTATAAAATTATACATAAAAGTATGTGATTAAATTTATATTATGTTTGTTTGAAAATACATCTAATACATATATCTATATTCTCTCTCCACATCCATAAACCAAAACATTTAGAAGTTACTTTAGTTTCTAATTTCTTATGAAAATAAAAATCAAACATGTTGATTGTTAGTGTAAAAGTTATTTTCTTTTAAACTATAATATTAATCTAGTCATTTACAAATGCTCTTAACATTATAATTTTAAAAATACTTGTTTAATTTTATAATTTTTAAAAAAATCATATAAATGAGAATCAATTAGTTAAATAGAATGCAAGCATGTTATAACCTCTCTAGTATTAAGTTTGATTTTAATAGATAAAAAATAAATGAATGTTAAGTAAAAATTTAAATAACTAAATTAATATTTAAAATAATTGACAAAATAATTTAATTAATCTCCTAATCCGTGTTACTACCAAAATTATATATTCCATTCTTAAACCCAAATCTAATATAGATTTTCCTCGAATCTGGTTCTGCCACGGCATCAAGTCAAAGTTGAATCATGGTTTGGAATCAACATCAAACCAGGTTGTATTTAGTTGATACTTGACAACTATTGACAAAACCAATATAAGATGAGAAATGCGTGTTAACTGTTGAAAAAAAAAACCCCCCAATTAAACTGAAACTGAAACTGAAACTCACCCAAACCAAAACACTTGTTTTGTCTTCACTGTTAAAGTCTTCCCACACAAAACTGAAATTATCACTCTCATAACAATAATTCTGGGGCAGTTTCGTTGCTTAGTAGTTAATACCCATTTGAATCATCATACAATAAAATGGAGACTCCAGTTGAAGTGATACCTACTCGTGTGTAAGTACTTGGATCTTCAAATTTCTTAGAGTAAATTATTTTTCTCTCTTGTGTCTTGTCTTTCAATGTCAATATTTTATGTCTTTTTGCTTAATTAACAATTATGTTTTGACTTTTTATTTTTTCCCCTAATATTCAATATCTTCATTGCAGTGCATCCGGATTCGTAGATGACTTGTCTGAGACTTGCAAGGTGTGATCTTTCTTCCATTTTGGTTGAACCCTTTGTAAAATTCTTTTGGATTTTGAATAGGGTTAGTGTTTTATTTTATTTTTTAATTTATGTAGTTTGTTGGTGTTTATGAATGTTTTATTTTGTTACTGTAAGAAGTAAGAACTTCTTCATTTATGCATTTTTGGATAGGTTAGTTGTATGACAATGCTGTTAACAGTGTGGGCTTTTAGAAAAATGATGGCTTGTGAATTATATTTATATTTTTTTCATATTGAAGCGCAATGATGTTTGATTGTAAATTTGTAATTTGCCCATTTTCCATTTGTATTAGTGAATGTTTCCCTTCAAACATTTTGTAAATAATCGACTTGTCAGTTGCCAAACAAATGTATTGTTGGGAATACTTTTTGTGTAAACATAGAGGTATTTATGCATCATTCAGTCAATGATTCGTCTGAAATCTAGATTGTGTCCATTTTCTGTGTCACAGATGGGTTCTCCAAATGGAAGAGCAATGCATAACTCTGACGATGAAGTTCCTCTTGACTCCGAAATGAATTTTCACCTTTCAGAATCTGGTCTGGTGGATGCTCATGGATCACGTCCTGGAGAATCTTGGACTGCTCATCGAGAAACGTTTTGGTGTAATATTTGCAGGAGCATACAAGTTGTAGTTTTCTCTAACAAACTCAACTTGCTTATGCCTTTTGGGCCTCTTGCAATTCTTGTGCAGAAGTTTACGGGTCATCTTGTGAGTAGGAGTTCATATAATTCTTAACTTTCCTGCTCTTTTTGGTTGAATATCTTATATTGATTTGTGAAGGTGGACTGCAGGGTTGGGTCTTCGGTCTGAGTTTGTTGGGTATAATGCCTCTGGCGGAGCGGTTAGGTTATGCTACCGAGTAATATTACATGTACTCTTCAAGGTTTTGCTTGAGATTTTCACTTTTTTTTTATGGTTTCTGATGTTACCCTTTTCTTGGTCTTATACAGGCAGCTTGCATTTTACACCGGAGATACTGGTAAAGTAATAGTATTTTACTAAATCTATCTTCTTTTAAACCATTTTAGAACAGACCCTGAAAAAGTTAAGGCACAAATATTGAATGTAATATGATATGTATGTGGTCTTTTGACCAATTTAGGAGATGCTTCTTTTATGCACCTATGTAATTAATTATTAGAAGTATTTCTCAATTTACAACTATTATTTTTACATGCTATATTTGTTGGAAAATATCGACCCTCTTACTCACTTCAACCTTAAATTGTTTTAGTATCCATGCTTGTGATGTTTATGATGGTTTATTTCTAATTTCATTGTATTGTATTTGTATCTTGCAGTTGGGGGTCTTTTAAATGCTACATTTGGAAATGCAACTGAATTGATCATCTCAATATATGCACTGAAAAATGGAATGACACGTGTTGTCCAGCTCTCTTTGCTGGGTTCAATTTTGTCCAATATGTTGCTAGTGCTTGGATGTGCATTCTTATGTGGAGGGATTGTTTTTAATAAGAAGGAACAAGTGTTTAACAAGGTATACATGTCAATTCCTATTTCTTTGATTATGTTCTTGAGTTTCATTTTGTATCACCTGTAGGCTGTAGCTTATTCAATTTAGCATGCAGGCAAGTGCTTCTGTGAACTCAGGATTATTGCTGATGGCAGTCATGGGCATACTTTTTCCTGCTGTTCTACACTACACACACACTGAGGTCCACGTTGGGAAGTCAGAGTTATCACTTTCAAGATTCAGCAGCTGCATCATGCTGGTGGCCTATGCTGCATACCTATTTTTTCAGTTAAAAAGTCAAAGAAATCTCTACGTCTCTGTGAACGAGGTTGGCAATTTTATATCAAGTTTCCTTTTTTGCTTTCCCAGTCATTCTTCTGTTGGTGGATATGTGGTATGCCATGTGATATGATTTGTTTGCTTGCTCTTTAGTATATGTAATAATAATCATTATTTTGTTATGAATAGAAAATGTGACACGTGGACTTTTTAAGCTAATAGGTTTTGGATAGAATGGATGCCCTTTAAAGTCTAAACAAGGAGTAGATAGCAAAGTCACATTTAGATTCTAGACTAATATAACACGTAATAGAATAGAATTTGATATATTCAAACGTATGATTCCCATTCTGATTCTTTCTTATTATTACTTCTGTTTAGATGTCCTACATCAGCTATGAATACGACCAAAAGATTCCTTATAAGACTTGGACAATCCTCTCCCCTTGAGTTAGTGCATGTTTGGAATAAAGTTTGTAAACTTAAGTTTGAATGGATTTCAATTGAAACTTGGTTTTAGATCTAAGTGTGCAAATGTACTCTTGAGAGAAACCAAACATACTAGCAAACTGAGTTTAGTAGGAAACGGTAAGTTAGAAGTGGCCAACTGGTGATCCAAACACAGCCTTAACTTTTGGGGTTGAGTTAGGCCTGGTCCATTTATAATAGGTTTTTGGTCTTCCTTTTGAATAATATTCTATGAACATGTGTGGATACAAGTCTAAAAGTGTTTTTGAGTGTTTCTCGACTGAAAATAAAGAATTTTTATTTTTTTTTTCCAGTAAAGAAAATTTCAAAAATGTTTATAAACTTGTATCTAAACAAACTTTATATCTCATATATTCCAATAGAATTGTTTGGCATTCTGCCTGCTTTGGGGAGGGGTATCGAATGAAATAAGATTGCAATTGGTGCGGAGTTCTGAAATTTGTGTTGATCTTTAAGATAGCTTCGTATTTTTATCCCTGGAAATTATTATGAAAATGGTTTATCACACTTGCCGGAAAATTATAGCCTGAAAGGGTGAAAGATGCAGGTGGATGATTAACTAGATGGAGAAGTTTTTCTCCCTTAGAAATAAGTAGAGTAATTGTTTATTGATTAAACAACTTTGTATACATTCTTTTAAGTTTTAACTCTTTTGCAACTCGCCAATAATTTTTCTAGTATGCTTGATGTTCATTATTGGTATAAGGCAAGTCTTTATTGTTGCTGCTTGACATTCAATATTGTCATATTTTCCTGTAAATGTTTTACATAACATTTTTGCTCACCAAGTTGTGGTAACATAATATGAATTCAGGAAGAGGGTCAGAATGGAAACAACTCAAATGATGATGAATCTCCAAATATTTCTAAATGGGAATCTATAATCTGGCTTTCGGTTATGACTGCTTGGATATCAATCCTGTCAGAATATTTGGTTGGCGCTATAGAGGTGGATAATATTCACATTTTCCTTGTTAACTTATTTTATGAAAGCATCGGAACTTGAAAGTACCAAGTAAAGTAGCAGTCAGCTGTTTTGAGTTTTTTTTCTTTTCTTTTCTCTTTCACAACAATGTATCTAGTGACTGATATATATTACATATTGCACACCCTCTCAAATTGTATTAGAAGGTAGTGGAATTGAAGTACATTCCCTTCAGAGTTCACCTTCCAGTCTGATAATATATTCACTACTCACACTCAGTATACATGTTTAAATATTTATGCGAGTCTCAAAATGTTGGCATGGCAAGCACCAAGTTGTGTGTCATCACTAACAACGTCTAGAGAATGAGGAACATCCATGTTTGTCAGCATTAGATGCTTAGTCATTATTTATAGATGCTATGTTTGTGAAGTTAACTATTTTTGTCCAGTAGTTATTTTGTGATAGGTTCCCAATAGGGGAGAGAAAATCAGAATTACAAAAAATAATGAATATTGACATGCACCCTCATGATCCTTGGGCATTTGCCCTTTTGGATATTTTACAAGAAAGATGACTTCTCTAAGATATTAAATGTTTATTTTTAAATATTTTGATGAAATAAAATTTCTGTTTGATAAACTGTTTTACAGGGAGCATCTAGTGCATGGGAAATTCCAGTAGCATTTATTAGTGTCATATTGCTTCCACTAGTGGGGAATGCAGCTGAACATGCCAGTGCTATAATGTTTGCCATGAAAGATAAACTCGTGAGATTTCAGTTCTTGTACACACTCATATGCATCGCACACATATATTCATATTAATAGGTTTTGTTCCATGCAGGACATTTCCTTAGGAGTAGCAATAGGTTCATCCACGCAGATATCGATGTTTGTGGTAAGTATTGTATATTCTACGGATGAGATTGAATAGATTTGCAGAATTACTTTTTGCTTTGGTAAATAGACAATGCCTTTTCCGATTTCAGTTTTCATGCAAGTGTGTGTGTCTGTCTCTGCTTTCTTTATGTATCTACGCATGCATGTATTAAGGTAGAATTAAGGTGTATGGCTGCACAGGCAATTTTAGCAATGCATATGAAAAATTTACTTGGAGTTACATATAACATAGTTGTTGGATTGAAACCAAGTAATGAAACAGCTGAATGTATTTGGATTCTTCCTTTTAAGGGTCTGTTTGTATAAACTTCTTCAAAAACATTTCTAAGAGAAAGAAAATAGGAAGAAGAATCGAAATAAGCTTCTCTAAAATCTAAAACTAACTAATGCAAAAGTTAAAAATAAGATTTTGGAAAAACTAATAAGAGAATTTTTACAAATTAACTAATGTATAGATTAATTTTAGTTTATGGAGAAGTTTATTTCATTCGCTTCCCTATTTTTTTTCTTGTAAAAGTATTTATGAAGAAATTTATCCAAACAGACCATAAGTATTAATTGATTGCATTAATGGGCTGTCATATGAATTTTTCATTCATAAGTTCCTCCTTATACCAAAATGTCTAGCTTGCGAGATTTCATTTCCTTCACATTTCCCTTTTCATTATGCAGATACCATTTTGTGTTGTTATTGGCTGGATAATGGGGCACCCTATGGACTTAAACTTTCAACTTTTTGAGACTGCAGCACTATTTCTTACTGTTATAGTCGTAACCTTCATGTTACAGGTTTGTATTGATAAAAAAAAAATGAAAATGAAAAGTATAGTATTAGGGACCTAAAACATGTAGACAATGGCACATGTTAACAATGTCTTAATTATTAGTATGGTTGAAAGACAACATTGTGACATATTTATTATGCCTTTGCAGGAAGGAACTGCTAATTACTTCAAAGGACTAATGCTTATTCTTTGCTATCTGATAGTGGCAGCCAGTTTTTATGTACATATGGATTCCTCTCAATAGGTTAGATTACATGAACTTTCTCTTGTACATTTCTGAAATGAGGTTGTGGAGATTTTGTTGTTTCCCTGACGAAAACGTAAGAAATTAATTTGTTCCACTTCTTATTTCCATCTTGTAATTTAATTGTGTTTCATAAATGTTATTGATCTGGCATCCTGCTTGTTTCACTAGCTTTAGTCTCTTATGAGAATTTCAATTGCATTTTTTGTTGTTGTTGATAGTTTAATCAAATTCCTTCATTTTCAAATAAAGTAATTAAATTCATTCATTTTTAAAATTTTATTGTTTTCATAAAATAAACAAAATCTTTCATTTCTAAAATTTTGCGTTTAAACAGAAAGGAGGGGGAAGAGGGATTTTTACTTTTCAGATGAAATTTAAAATTCTTGAATTTTAGTTAATACAAGAATTGGATCATAGCCACTACCAGGAAACTACTGGACCACAACCAACATAGAATTGGATTATATGGAAACGATGGTCGTTGACAAGTTGGTTGTTGAATTACATTGACATTTTTATTACTTGTGTAGTAGCAATGATTAATTGCTAAACTCCACTTACCATATTAAAAACTCATAATGTGATAGGAACTTGCGTGATTGCACACAAAGAATAGCCTTAGACAAATATACCATGAGAAGGTTTTCTTTGGACTTTTAAATAGATTAAAGGTCCAAGTGATTTTTTTTTAATAAAACTACATGGGCCAACTCATATTCAGGCCTACAAATCATTTGGATCAATTAGCATAGTAGTTACTTCTGAAATCCTTCAACAAGAGCATTTTTAGTCACTTCGGTCAATTAGTGTAGTAGGTACCACTCATACTCAGATTTTTTTTTTTTAATTATGCATCAAGCTTATATATCAAACACAAATAACTATCTTATTTAAAAATATTTTTTTGAGTTATTCTTCATCAATAAAAGTTATTTTAAAGATTATTATAATTTTTTATCTAATTTTTTTATTTTTATTTATCAATGAATTAAATTTAAATATTTAAAAATAATTATCAAAAATTAAAATAATTTTATGTCTCAAATATAATTTATGTCTAAAAATATTATTTATATAAATTTTAAGTATAATTTATATATTTTAAAATATAATATAGGGTTGAGTTACTTTGAGAGCAAGTTAATCTCTAGAGAGTTGAATTAGAGACAAGACCATTAACTTAGAAAGATATGAAAGGAAAATTTTTCAAAACGAGACTCATAACTCAAGTTTTTTAGACCTGTAGAGAGAAGTTAGAGAGAGATTCTCTCTTCCTTCTTTCTTTTTGTTCTCACTAGAACCTTTCATTTTCTTAACTAATTATGGTAGGGGTGGTGAATAGGGGTGTTCAAAAAAATCAAAAGAATTGAACTGAATTTAAAACTAGACCGAACCACTTTAAAAAAACCAGAACCAATTATAATAAAACTGAACCGGATTTAATTTTTAAAATAAAACTAAAAAACTGAACCTATTTTTTTTTTTAAGGTTTGGTTCACTAATATATTTGGATTATGGCATTATGCTTCGCTCGGATTCGGAGACGGAACAACACTTTCACACTCACTCCATCTCTCGCACTCTCTTTGTGACTCTGTCTCTCGGACTTGCACTCTCTCTGTCTCTCGCACTCACTCTATCTCTTGCACTCGCAACAATCTCGCTCATTCTTGTGAATCACTCATGTAAGTCTGCAACTCTGCTTCAGCAGCTCAACTAGCAGTTTTGTTCCTCTCCTTGGGATTAATTTCCATTGGAGCTGGTTGTGTCAGACCTTGTTCCATAGCCATTGGAGCATATCAACTGGCAATTAAAGACAAATCTAATGATGAGAGGCTCTTGGATAGCTACTTTAATTGGTATTATGCCTTAATTGGAATATCAACCGTGATTTCATTGAGTGTAATTGTGTACATTCAAGTAAATGTGGGATGGAAAATTGGGTTTGGAGTACTTGCTGTGCTAATGTTCATATCAGCTGTCAGTTTCAATCTTAAAACCAATTTAAAACTGATTTATTTTTTAAAACCGATTCAAAAACTGGTTTGATTATAAAACTGGTTTTAAACCAATTATAAACTTGTTTATTAAAGTAATTCAGTTTTAAAATGGTTTGTTAAAGTGGTTCACATAATTTATAAACCAGTTCATTTTATTAAAATAGTGTGGTGCAGTTCGGTGTGATTTTTTTAAAAAACCAAACCATGCACACCCCTAGTGGTGAAGAATTCGAGTTTTGGAGTCAAAACTTAAAGTTAGTGGTGTGCAAAGTTGCTTTTTCATCATCATCATCTTCTTCTTATTCTCTTACGAATTGATTTTTCAAGTGTGACAGTCTAGACAAATTGAAATGAAAGAGATTCAGATATTGCACAAGTATGAGATTATATAGTTAAAGATGACTTAAATTAATTAATTTGTACTATATATATCAAGATACATTTATTTTTTAATAACTAATTACATAAGATTTTTACAATTAAACATGTTTAATTTAGAACAATTTAAAGATGAATAACCTTTTGGTATATATAATGCGCAAAGAAAAAAAAAATAATAATTGTCATAATGATAAAAACAATCCCTTCGGTTTCAGGAGAAAAAGGAATCAATTATGCTCATGCTTTAGTCAACATTGGGCAGCAATATTATATTTTCATTTCTCATCTCAAAATCTCAAACATGGACAACATTAAGTCAGAACATTGACTCATTGAGTAAAAAACAATGGGAAGATTACACATTTTAGCTGAATTAAAAGCTATGGTGTATCCCACTATTTTTGTTTCTTTCCCTTTCTCTCTCTCTTTCTCATAGGTCTCATTCAGTTGTATCTTCATCAGATAATACTCCACCCTTGTTGATCCTTCACGTCAACTTGTCTACTATACTACCTTGGTCACACCTTGCAAAATTCTCACCCATCAATTTATTTTGTTCTTCATGCATGATGAAGGCAGGGGTAGCCATGGACAAAGTGATACTACAATTATGAAAGATTTCGTACATGTCACGCCATCGAAGTTAGAGTACAAAATGGTCAATATGCTTTAAAAAAGGTTTAGTCATTTTCATTTTACAAATTATATAAATTGTTATTAAAAAGTCTCATATCGTTTATAATTTGAGATCAATATTGAAAATTGTTTGCATAAATAGATTAGCATTTATATTTTTTAACTAAAAAAACGAGCTTTTCTTATTATCCATTTTGGTAAAGAATTAAAAGTATTACTTTTATCTTAGGAAATGTTTGGTAGTACATGAAAAATAAAATTCATTCTTAAAAATTATAATTCATAATTAATCTTAGAAATCACAATTCCTATAAAAACGATTGATATCTGTTTGATTATGACATATATTTTTATATAACATTTATAAATGTTACTTAAGAATTAAATAGAGTTAATTTGATGATTTTATTAAATTTAAATTTTCATTTTATCTTGGAAATATTAATTTCTCACTCTAATGATAACAATATTATAAAAATTTACGTAAAAAAAATTATTAAAAAATATTAACTTTTAAATAACAAACAAAACATAAATTTTTTTATAAAAGTAAAAAAAAAAAAATTCGTACCAAATATCTCCTTATACTTCTCAACTATACAATAAAAATGGTCAAAAATAGATTATAAATATCTTTCTTATTTCACCCTATTGAAGTTCCTTTTATTAAAAAAAAAAAAAAAAAAAACAAAATCGTGAAGACTCTCGATAGTTAAAGCGGACCATGGCTTGTATATTTAAGTTAGTTTAATAATAGAAAATTTTAAACCAGAAATTTAAGATAGTAGTATAATACAATGAACTTAAACGAAAATATAAGATATAAAAATTCAATGAAACCAAATGTATATACTAAATAAAACACCCGTATTGCATTACCCTTGCCATTTTGATAGTAAGTTACAATTTAGGCTACACTGTCTTCAAAAAAGATGACAAAAGAAAAATGTTTCTGATAACAACAAAATTAAATAATAGATGATTTTGGTCTATTCGAGTATATTTCTTGTTAGACTGTGACAATTTTATTTTTGAAAAGGTATTTCAGTATATTAAAAATAATATATTTATAAATTACTTTTAATCTTGATTTTTAAGTAATATGAGACTTTTATACATATCAAAACAAAGTGTTTCAAGAGTGAAAATAGGTCATGTCAAACTAGAGTTTGAATATATAAATCGAGTCTATTTTAAAAAATTAAAGTCTAAGTCTAATTAATTATTTATTATTTTTTTTATAAGTTTGTATGTTCTTCTTAAAAGTTTGGTCTAATCTATTAATTTAATTAAAAATCTATTTACATTAATAATATTAAATAAATCAATAAATTTAATTTTAAATAAGTCAAAAATTATATTTTAGAATACAAATGTGATTTTTTTTTTAATTTTCACAATAAGTATTTTTTAATTTGCATGATAAAAAAGTAATTTATTCTATTATTATTAATAAAATTTAGAGTTTAAAATAAAAATAAAAATAATTGAGAAACAACTCATGCATAACTATATACAGTAACATATACTCATACATAAACTATAATGAAAAAAATAATAATTTATTAAAAAATTCAAAATATTTTCTATATCACATTTGAAATATTCTAAATAACCAAGGTGAAGGAAAAAAACATGTAAATATGCGATGACTAAAGTTTTTATTTTTGATATCGTAATTTCATACATACAAAAGAAGCATGTAAAACATTTAAGCCTAATAAAAAGTTAAAAAAATACTGATAATTTTAATTTTTTTAATTACAAATTTATTTCTTTAATTATATTATTAATATGTAATATATATATATATATATATATATAATTTTTTTATTATATCATATAGATAAATAGATTGATTTATCATGTCTAACAAACTTTTTTATAAATCTAAACTCAACTTTTTAAAATAAATAAACTTTTTAAAAGCTTAAGCTTAACTTTTTTATTAAATAAGTCAGGTCAAGTTATAGACATCAATCTTTTGACTTATTCCCATTCTTATCTTTGTTGAGACTAAGAGGTAAGAGTGACCTAAGTCCTCTAGGGCCAATGTTTCAATTTTAATTTTGTTATCATTACAATCAATGTATTATTCATTTTGACACTCATTGGATTGTTGTAATTTTAATTTTGAAAAGTTATTTCAATGGGAAGAAAAATATTTATAAACTATCATTAACTTCGATTCTTAAATGCAAGACTTTTACTCATAATAGAATAATATATTTAATTTTGTCTTTAGTAAGATTATAATTTTGATGTGAAATAGTCTTTTATCATCGTAAAAGAAGTTTAACTATTATAATCATTAAATAATATTTTTTAATGTGAAACTACTAATAATGCATGGAATTTAATCTTAAAAATAATTCATGAACTTGTCTCGTAGTCATAAGGAAAAATATTCGCTTGAATTATATGAAAAATGTATATGTTTGTAGACTTGTAGTATGAAATGTTTGAATAAAAAGAAACTAAAGAGATTAGCTAATAACTTAAAAAGTGTATCATTAGGAGGGTTTATTAATATAGTTACTCTACTATTAAGAAAGACAAGAAACTAAATAAATTATAGTCGACAAAGACAACTTCTATTCACATGTAGTGTAAGGCTACAATTTCTTTTTCAATTCACATGCAAAGGACTTGACGAAAAGATTGTGATGAATCATCATGGCCCATAAAACAAAGAAGTCAGTATTATTGGGCCCTTGTTATTTTGTCATCTTCTACCATAAATTGCCCTACTCATACCCCCAAGACTTTAGAAAGGACATTGGGCCCATAAATTATTATTTTTAATTATGGTATTCATACGTGTTATCTATCTATTTTTATCGATAATTAATTTTATGAAAAATTTAACTAATTATTTTTAATAATGTTCTTTTTCAATATTTTTTTTTTTAATTTTATAAGATGTAAATTTAAAATTTTACTTTATAAAGTTGAGTCTCATTCTAGTCGTATCAATAACTTTAGAAAAGACACTAGGTCCATAAATTATTTGAGTGACAAATTTCAATTTTAGCATACTAGAGAAATAAAGAAAATTTCCAAGTCAAATAAGTCAACGTGAATGAGATAAATTATTGTGATAGCTTTTTGTTGCTTGAATCTAGAAATAATGATAAAATAAGCATGTTTGAAATATTGGTTTTAGGCCTAAATATATTTTTAGTTTATTAAATTTAAGGTAAATTTATTTTGTCTTTTAAATTTAAAATTGATATTTTTAATCTCTATAATTTTAAAAAATATTATTTTAATTTTTATATTCAATTTTTTTTAAATTCATTAAATATTATTGCATGAAATCTATCGATTAATGTCTCTGTTAGTAAAAACATAACATTAAACCTAATTAATGTTTTATAGTTGTTCAAATTTGTCACTTTCATATGTGTTATTAGTGGCTTGAGGAATTAAAACAAAATTTTTGGAAATTACAAGAATTAAAAAAAATTTAAATTTGAGAGATAAAAAATAAATTTAACCTAAATTTGAGAGATTAAAAACATATTTAACTCTTGTTTTTATTAATAAGTTTATAAGAGACATGTTTCTTAAATTATTCAAGTCTTTAACAAAATTCTCACAAACTCATCAAATAATGAAATTGTATTTTTTATATAGAAATTATGTGATTATCTTTGTAATTTTTATCTTTACTTAAAAAAATGCACCCTGCTCAAATAATTGAGCTAAACTCTCTAAAAAAAATTGTTGAAAATAATCATTCCTCACCAAGAAAACAATGTCTAAAATACTTGAAACTTGTTGCTTAATTACTTGCCAAACTCAGTTCATTATCACTACAAAAGTCAAAATAGGCATCACCTCATATGTACCACTCATTCTTTATTACAACACCTTTTTTTTTTTTTTTTT